GCAGGCCGGGGAGTGTTTGCCTGGCGGGAAGCAGCGCGCGCGGCTGGCGCGGCCCCGGGGGTTCCGGGTTCGAGTACCGGCCGGGCCGTTGTCGTGCCGCGTTTGTTTTTCCAAGTGGAATGGCGCGACGTGGCAGGCAGTGGCAGGCTGCCGGAGGGTCCGGTGCGTAGGGCCGAGCGAGCCGAGCCGGAGCGGGGCTTTCGAACTGTCACTCGGTGGGCTACACGCGGCCCGGCCGTCGCCCCGGCTTACTTCCGCTTGCCCGCGCGTCGGCCAATCAGCGCGCGGCGTCGTCGACGGCGGCCTCGGCGTCGAGGCCCCGGCGGCGTCGCGGCCAAACTTTACGCATTAGCCGCACCGCGTGTAAGTGTGACGCTTCTTCTCCTTCCTCCTGATCGCCTTATTGCTCGTTGTAATCATGGCGCCGCCTCACAGTGGGCCAGAAGACCGGTGGAGGCGGACGAACCCTAGACGCGTTTTGAGCTCCAGGGTCGCTGAATGGGAGTCGAACCGAACGTGTGACCCCACCAATGGATCGCTCTCCGAACGAGGAATCCATTGGTGGGGTCACACGTTCGGTTCGAGGCCTGCTCAGCGACTCTGGAGCTCAAAACGCGTCCAGACTTGGGCCGCCTCCGCCGGTCGTCTGGCCCACTGTGTGCCGAGGTTGGAGCTAATTCCGCGGCGATGCCTGCTTCCTGCGATGCCTGCTCCGACCGAACAAGCGCCCCAAGTTTGGCCTTGATCCCGCCGCCGCCCTTTTCTGGCCCGTTTCACATCCCGATTTAATCCCGTATAGGCGGCCGGGGGCTTACTCATTCGCCCCGCCAAAGTCACCAATTTTGAGCGCGCTCGCGCCTCACTCTGTGTGTGTTTGTGTGTGCGTGTGTGTTTAGAGAGGGGCGCGTTGGCGTTGTTTGGGGCGCTCCGCGCGTAATTTTTAGTGCTCTTGGCAACGCTTGCTCTCTCTCTCTCTCTCTCTCTCTCTCTCTCTCTCTCTCTCTCTCTCTCTCTCTCCCTCTCTCCCTCTCTCTCTCTCTCTCTCTCTGGTTCCGAATCCCTCGCCCGTGTGTGCGTGTGGGAGAGAGAGAGAGGGACCCTGCGAGTGTGTGTTTTGCAGTAAATGGAGTTATGCTGTTCGCTCGGGCTATTAACCTTTCGCGAGGCAATTGTATTTCGTTTCGACGGCGCGCCACCGCGGTCCGTCCGCGCCGTTTTGTTGTTCCGCTTTTTTTCGCGCTGCCGTCGCGTGCGCCTTGCGCGTCCCGAACGGGACACGAAGTGACCCGAACGCAGCCCGAAGTGTTCCGAAGTGACCCGGAGTATCGCCGAAGTGTCCGGAAGTGTCCCGGAGTGTCACGTGTCGTAATTACTGCCGATATCTGGGCCCCGGATCGCCCCGACTCGTTAGCAGTGGCCCGCCTCGACAGCGTCCTGCTCCCCAGCGACCGCCCCGACCTCGGCCCCGGCCACGCTCTGGATGCGAATCACCTCGCCGACGCGGCCGGCCTTCGGACGGTGAGGAGAAAGCAATCAATGGCGAGGAGGAGGCCGAGGAGGCCGTGAGCGAGCACGCCGAGGCCACCGCGGCCGCCGCGGCCGTGAGGGGAGAGATTTGCTTTAAAACTCGTCTCCCTTATCAATAATTGGCGGGAGAAGTTTTCGGCTCCGCGGGGACCTTCTTCGTCCGCCTTAACTTTTACAGCGCGGTGTTATCGGGATGATATTGGCGAAGCCTCGGCCGGGCCGGGGGGCGGCGAAGCTCTGCCGTACCGATCCACCGATCCGCGGTGAGGTGGCTGGCTGCCTGCCTGCCTGGCAGTGCGGTGCCGTCCCCTCAATGGAAGCGTTTCATGTCGCCGCCAGGGGTTTGCTAAACTTTCATCCTCCTTTTTAACGATGGTTATAAGAGCTGGAGTGGTGGTTCGAGCCAACCCCCTCCCCCTCCCGTTTGCCGTTTTCTGATTGACAGTGTAGGGGCACCAATGGTTTCCCTCGGACGTGTCCACCACGCTGCTGTGCCGTGGGCCCTCGGCGTGGAAATGTTTACCCGGCTCGGTGTAAACTTTATGTGCGGCGGGAGTTTTCTTTTGTTTTCGCTGCAGCGCGCCAGTGTGCGTGTCCGTGTGTGTCCGTGTGTGTCCGTGTGTGTGCGAGGGGGTGGGGTGCGACGATATGAGTGGGGCTCAAGGCGCCGCGCGCCGCGCTCCACTCGCAACCTGCCTCGGCCCCAAACTTTTCGGTCATCTTTTCTCGATTGCGCCCTCGCCGTCCTCGCCGTGCCCGTCGGCCGCCCCGACTCTTTCGCCCGGTTTGTTTGCCGCCCAACTTGGTGAATGGACACTTATTTGCCGCGATGGCGGGATGGTAATCGGGAGACACGACAACAACGTGCTCCTGTACGGCGCCCGGGATTGGGTTTCGGCCGAGGCGGCGCACAGTGAGCCAGAACCGGCGGAGGCGGTCGCAACCCCGGACGCGTTTTGAGCTGCAGAGTCGCTGGGACTCGAATCGACTCGGATCGGTCAGTGCCACTGCACTGGAAATTGGAAACTCGCGCCGTTTCTCGGCGGGTGCTTGGAGACGTCGTGGTCGGACGTGTTTCGTCATCGGCCGTGACAGGCTGCCGTCGCGGTGGCCGGGGCGGGGACGCGTCCGGACGCCACGCGCCACCTGTGTGACAACACAATGCACTATCAGCACGGCCCTGAACCTAATGGCTTTCCTTTGGCGGGGCTGGCAGGGCTGGCAGCAGGCCGTCTGGCGGGGCTGGCAGTCAGTCAGTCTGGCGGGCCCGGCACCAGCCGAAAAATAATTCTGTAAGGAAGCAGATGGTCTCGGTGATAGTGGTGTGTGGGGAGTGGACCCGGACGGACCGCCTTGTCGCTGATAAGGGGGCGGAAGGGGCGTGGGGCTCCATGGGGCCTGTTTGCCGGAATCAAGTGCAAGGCCCAGGGAGAGGGGGAGGGGAATAATCTAGTGGGGGGGGGGTCTGGAGTCTTTTTGCTGTCTGGAATGGCGGCCGTGACGCGGATGAATGATCTGGAGGCTCCAGGCTGCAGGGCTCCGGCGGCCCCACATACGGCCGGCCGGGTCAGTCGGGAGGCGGAGGCACGCCCCGCTGGAAGGCTGCTGGAATCGCGAGCCCGTTCCGGCGAATCGGGGGGAAAAGCGCGGGAAAAAAGGAGGCCCTGCGCAGAAATGCGCGTGCGGTGAAAAGAAGTGCATTTCTATTATCCCCTGCCTGTCGCTCCACCGCCGGCTGAGCGATCCCGAACGCGGCTTCCGTCTGTCTCTCTCGCGCGCCTGTGGCGGTCCTCGTCGGTGCGAGAGAGACAGACAGCGGGATCAGCGCGATCGATGCGAGGATGCCGAACTGCAGTTTCTGGAAGCCGCCAGGCACGCCGCTGACGGCGGCTGACGACGTCCTGGAGGTCGCCGTCGAGGCCTCGTCGATGTCCTCGCGGACCACCCCGCGGAGTCGCCACCGCGCCCAACTTGTTAAATGCTTCATCTTAAAAGCGCCCCTCTGCCCGGGCCGCGCCGCCCGCCCCGCCCAGGCAGCCCAGGCACACAACTCCTTATTACAGGAAATTCTTCAGATGAGAACTGCGCTCTCTGCAGGGAAAACTTTGCTCTAAGAACTTTTACCTCGTGGAAGTTGTTCCTACCAAGAAAACATTCGCAGATCAAAGTGCGCGCGGCGCGGGCAGGGAGGAGGGGGGAGGGAGGGAGGGGGGGGGGGGGGGAAGGGCGGCTGTCGTGCGCGCCGACCGCAACCGGAGGGGAGTAAAAATGAAGGAATGAAAGAAGAAAGGAACAAGTAATTGATATTATGAAGAGGGCGCCGCCGCGCCGGCAGCTTTTAGCCGCGGAGGTGTGGGCGTGCTGCCCCCGGCCGCCCCCGGCCGCCGAGGCCCGGCGAGGCGCGCGCTGAGTGGATTTCTGGACACCAACGCAGCCGGCTTCCTCGCCGGCCTCGGCGCCGCAATGGCACTGAGTTTGTGGCGGTAATTGGAAGGGGAGGCCGTGCCGGGCCGGGCCGGGCCGCGGCGCCGAGGCCAACAAGGCCGTGGCCGAGGCCGTGGGGAAGCGCCGGGGGACACTTGCCCAAGTTTTTCTTCTGCTGGGGCTGATGCCGTTCCGAGTGCAGGCGCCGAGGGTGCCGGTCTTCTGGCCCACTGTGCGACAGGGACAGAGCGACGAGAGCCCCGTGCGGGATCGGCCTGCTGGGCAGTATCGGTTCGGAGCGTGTTGGCGATACCCTAATGGGGCAAGTGTGCTCTGCTCTGTGCGGCACGGCACGGCACGGCACGGCCAGCGGAACAGCCCGTTAAGCCCAGGGCCTTATTGAGCGAACACCCTGCCTGCCTGCCGCCGCCTGCCACCCCGTGCATCTCGTCACCCACCTCATTAAGACCAGGTGGATGCCCCCACCCCGCCCCCAAAGCCCTCTGTGCAGCGCGGCACATTTGGACCGACTCTCCAGGCGGCGACTTGGCGCGTCGCTCGGCGCCTCGCGAGACGGTGGTGTGAGACGAGACGGCGCAGCACTGCCTCTTCATTTGCGGGGCATTGTGGAGGTGGGCAGGCGTGGGCGGCGGACTGCACCATCACTCTTTCATTTCTTGCATAAACACTTGTTCGCTAGAGCGACGGGGCGTCCCCTCCCCCACGGCGCCCCCGCCAATGCTAACGAACGCAATGTGCAGCCCTTTGCGCGCCTGCAGGTCGATTCCGGGAGGGGGCGCCGTCGCTCTGTCTCTCTCGCACTCCGAGGGGCGCCCATGAGTGCGAGAGAGACGAGCGAAGGAGCGCCATTTCAAGATCAGTCTGCTGCTCCTCTCCAGCCTGGCCTCCAGTTGCACCGCGTCAGAAAGAGACGCCGACGTTTGGCGCAGTGGCGGTTTCACTCTCGCCTTTTTGCGGCGTATCCATCTCACGCGCCGTTTTCTTCGGAAACGTTGTTTTCATTTTGGGTTTGTCTCGATTTGTTGCAGACGACGGGGAACATCATGAACTTCTGCGAGGTGGGCCTCAAGATCTCGGGGGTGTCGCCCATCTCCAGCCCGTCGGCCGTCACAGTGGATAACGCGACGCTGTCGTCGGTCACCATCGGCTACACGGAGCGACACACCGTCGCCTTCCTCGGCTCCCTGGACGGCGTCGTGAGAAAGGTAAGTCACGGCCGGTTGGCCGAGCGGCTAGCGCCGCGGCGGGTGGGGCGGATGGCGCGGGTTCGCGTCCCGGCGGCCGCGAGCCGATTTGCAGGTCGGAGGACCCCGAGCAGGCCGAGAAGACCTCGAGTTATGGTACGGCGGCGCGTCGTCCGAGCCCCTTTGGCCCCCGGGTTCTAAACTCAATCCAGCTCAAACCAATCCCAGCGTCGTTTCCAGAGTTATGCCCTGTGCCGGAGGTGGGGCGGGGCGGGGCGGGGCGGTGGCCCGCACCTGATATCCTCCAGACGTAATGCACTCCCCGCCTCCGACGCCATCCTTTCCGACTGAATGGACGCGGAACTGCGTGGCGTGGCGCGGCGTAGTGCCCCGTAAAGTGCGTCGGTGCAGTGCGTCGGTTGATTAAGTCGCCCGGAGACTGCAGCCCGGAGCCGGAGGGACCCGCCCGGAGGACAGGGTGGGTATCAACATTCCCGCTGCGACACATTTCTCCGGGCTCCGGGGGGAAGGGGCGCGGAATCGACGCCGTCCTCGACCCCCTCCTGGACCAAGGGGGCCCCGACGGGGGCCGCGCTGCCCCCGGGGGCGGGCGGGGCGGCGCTGCAGTGCTAGTGCTGAGCGAGGAGCGGCCGCTGCACGTAAAACCTGATGCTGCCTGTCTGCTGGGATCCTCTAGCTGGGATCCTTCCCCCGCCACGCCGCGCCACGCCGCGCCACGCCCCGCCGTGCCCCTTGGCACGTCCGTTTTTGCGCCATTGCCGCCCCCGCATGGCCACGGGGGCCACGGGGGCCACGGGGCGCCAGGCCACGGGGCGGCCCCCGTTCACACAGTCGTTAATGAAACGGGTAATCCCCGCTCCGCCGTCCCCGCCGCCCCCACGGAGCCCCAGTGCCCCGAGGCCCGGAGCCGGAGCGCGGGGCCGGGAGGAAAAATGGAGCCGCCGGACTACACGGAGCGCTCGCTGGGGGCCCCCGGACTCCGCGGGGGACGGATTTCGGATGGAGGCTCTCCACTCACAGTGTGCTGCAGTGCGGGTGGGTCCCGGGGCGGCGAGACCACCCCAGCAGACTGATTCCAAGGGTCGTTTTCGTCGCTCTGTCTCTCTCGCACTGTGTCCAGCGTGGGTGCGAGTGGGACAGCAGGCGTTGCAGCGCGGACCTCCGTCTGCGGCGCGCGCGGCGACGAGCGCACATTCACATCCCAGTGGCGCGCCAAAGCCGATCCCGAAGAGCGGGACTGGGGTCCGCGCCGCGGTCGCGAGGCCGGCCGGAAAAAGGAACCGCTTTGAAAGCGGCGCCCCGCCCCGCCACGCCACGCCACGGCGTCTTATTAGGGCAGGCTGTTTCCTCGTTTGACGTGTCGCCATCCCTTTCAGCCTCCTGCCAGTGGCGTGCCAGTGGCGTGCCAGTTCGGTCCGCGGCACATGAATGCCACGGGCTTCTTTGCCTCCCGACGGCTTTGGAGGGGAAAGAGAGGGGGGGGTGTCCTTTCTCCCCGCACACACGCGTCCCGCCAACTTAGCGCCGCGGAGCCGCGGACCGCGGCGGAGGTGGCGCCCGCCGTTGTTATTGCCGAGGTTGGGCTGCTGCAGGCCGCGGCGTCTCTCTCTCACTCTCTCTCTCTCTCACACACACACACACACCCGCGGCCTGTGGCGCGCATCCAGCGACACGGATAGCTAGCTTGGTGGCGGCGGGGGCGCGGGCCGCGCCGCCCCCTGGAGGAGGCCCCTCGCACATGATTCGTGGCTGGCGGGGCCTGGCGGGGCCTGGCGAGGCCGTCCCTGGTTGTTGTTATGCCGCCGTGAATGGGACGGTGAAAGTGCCTCGAATTTCCCGGCGACGCGGCGGGGGCGGCGCGGGGGATGTTGGTCCCGCCCCCGCGCCGCCCCCGCCGCGCTTCGTCTTGTTTCCGAATGAAATATAACACGTTGGCGTAATATCATTCCGGAGTGAGTAATCGCTGCAGAGCTGTCGGGCAGAGCTCGCGGCCAAGGGATTAAAATCGCAGTCAACAACTTTTACGCTTTTTTCGTGTTGTGATTTTTCCTCTTTTTTGTTGCGGAGCCATAAAACGCTAAAACTCAACTAGGTGTGCGCGATTCGGCTATCAATTTTTCATACCGAGCGACCGGCGAGTAATCAATGAGAGAGCTCGTTGTTGTTGTTGTTGTTGTTGTTGTTGGCGCCTCCACGCTCCGCCCTCTCGAACGGCCCAGGGGTCGCTCGCCGGCGTCATATTTTTTTTTTGCCCGGCTTCTTCGCCGGAAGTCGTCAGCCCCTTCTTCGTCGCGTTCTTATTATTTTCGCACCCCGAACCTTGGGCCGCGCGCCGCGCCGCGCCAAATTGTTTCCTTTGGCGACGCGGACGGCGCTCTCGCTCCGTCTCTCTCGCACCCACTGGGCGTGTCCCGCGAGTGCGAGAGAGACGGAGCCAGTCTCGCGCAATCTCAGGCAAAGAGATTTTATTATATCGCGCGCCGCATTCCTGGCGGTTACGGCCGCAGTTTGAAAAGTTGCGGTGCGTGGCACACTGTGCGCGGCGGGGGGCGCGAGTGCAGCAAGGGCTGCACTGCCTCCGTGCGCCGCGCGTCGCTCTGTCTCTCTCGCACTCACGGGGCGTCCCGTTTGGGTGCGAGAGAGACAGAGCGACGGCGGTCCCGGACCGCCAGGCAAATCGCGGAGCGCGCGGCCGCGAGCTATCAAATTGAATGTGTTGCCCCGGCGTTGCGGCGGCCGCCCGGCCTGCTGCCTGCCTTCCCGACGGTGAGAGCGACGCGTAGTGGACGTGAGTCGATTCCGCAACCAGTTGATGTGCTGCACGCCGGGCAAATCCATCACGCCGTCCGGACCGGCGTCGCCACCGTCTCCACCGACTCCACCGCCTCGGCGGCGATCACCGCGCTAACCTGCCGCCCCGCCGTCCGATCCGGACAGTGCTTTCGTCGCTCCGTCTCCCTCGCACCCGGCGGGACGCCCATGAGTGCGAGGGAGAGGGTGCGGACAGTGCACAGAAAATGAGGTGTGCGTAATGAAGCGTTGGCGGGCATTCCCCGTCAAGTTGAGTGGGGAGGGGCGCAACGTCTCTGATTGCTTTATTCCTTCCGAGGTGTACTTAATGGAATGCTATCGGATTGGGATTGGGGGTTTTTGTGGTGTGTGTGCGTGTGTGTATGCGTGTGTGTAGTGGTTGCATGTGTGTGTGCGTGGGGCGCGTGCCCGCCGGCAATAATGCCCCCAGAGACCCCCGCGCCTCCGGGCCAGCCCCAAAGATGCACCCCTGTGTCGCCCTAGAGAGGTAGTCATATGCGTGCAGTCTGGATTCATCGACATTTATAAACAAGCGCATTAAGCACGCCGTCAAATATGACGATGTCAACGTGTCGGAAAATAGGCAAGTGTCGCATGTGCGACTTACCTGAAGACAACAGTGCTGCATTGGCGCGTTCGGCTGCGCGCTATGGCTGCGCGTGCCCGACCGTTCCATATCTCGTCGCTCTGGCCAGCGTGAGTGTCGGACTTCTACGCTCTGTGCGGGGTTCGACTCGTCCGAGGGCCCTCTCTGTACTTATTTTCATGCAGCCTCATGAATCGGTTGAATCCGGTCTGAATCCGTCTGAATGGCGCCTGGAAAGTGACTTCAGACGCCTGCACGGCCGTTTTCAGACGGAAGTCAGACACTTTCAGGGCTTTCAGGCGCCTCTGGCGTGCCTATCCATCTGACCGCTGTCTGAATCCTATCTGAATCCATCGGAATCCCTTGTGGAACGGTCTTGTCGCTGTTTACCGTCAGACTCATTCAGGCCCAATTCCGACAGGTTTCATGAAATTTTTTCACACGGGACTCACGGGGCGTCCCGTTTGGGTGCGAGAGAGACAGAGCGACGGCGGTCCCGGACCGCCAGGCAAATCGCGGAGCGCGCGGCCCGGCGAGCTATCAAATTGAATGTGTTGCCCCGGCGTTGCGGCGGCCGCCCGGCCTGCCTGCCTGCCTTCCCGACGGTGAGAGCGACGCGTGGTGGACGTGAGTCGATTCCGCAACCAGTTGATGTGCTGCACGCCGCGGCCATCCATCACGCCGTCCGGACCGGCGTCGCCACCGTCTCCACCGACTCCACCGCCTCGGCGGCGATCACCGCGCTAACCTGCCGCCCCGCCGTCCGATCCCGGACAGTGCTTTCGTCGCTCCGTCTCCCTCGCACCCGCGCGGGACGCCCCATGAGTGCGAGGGAGAGGGTGCGGACAGTGCACAGAAAATGAGGTGTGCGTAATGAAGCGTTGGCGGGCATTCCCCGTCAAGTTGAGTGGGGGGAGGGGGCGCAACGTCTCTGATTGCTTTATTCCTTCCGAGGTGTACTTTAATGGAATGCTATCGGATTGGGATTGGGGGTTTTGTGTGTGTGTGTGCGTGTGTGTATGCGTGTGTGTAGTGGTGTGCATGTGTGTGTGCGTGGGGCGCGTGCCCGCCGGCAATAATGCCCCCAGAGAGGGCGCCCCGGTCGCCTCCAGGGCGGCGGGTACGCGCCAAATGCACTTACCGTGTCGCCCCGTTACCCCACTGTACGTATCGGCGCGGGGATTACGAAATACGAAATACCGCGCGGGATGAGAAACGGCCTGTTTTTCGCCCGCCTGGCCGGCGCCGCCGCGTGCCGCGTGCCCCGCCACGAATTTCCATTTTTTCCCGCCAGATAGGGGGCGGCGTATATCGTTTTTAATTGCCCCCGTATTTTTCACGTGTGCGGGTCGGCCGGCTAGGGGACGCACAGTGGGCCACAAGACCGGTCAAAACGCCAGACGTTCCAGAGTCGCTAAATGGGACTCGAACCGAACGTGTGACCCCACCAATGGATTATTGCTCTCCGAACGAGGAATCCATTGGTGGGGTACACGGAGCTCTAAACGCGTCTAGAGTTTTGGCCGCGCCCACTGTGGGACGCGGCTACCGGCTACGCCGTGGCCACGCCGGGGCGACGCCGCCGACCCCGCCGCGGCCCCGC